CAGCAAAGAAACCATAAAAGCCAGACAATGGGAAATACATGCATTAAAGCATCAGAGATGTGGTATGCAGATAGTGCCACGAAACGAGTGCGTTTCTCTGAGCGGGGGCGCAGGGCCGAGCCGGACGACAAACTGGCTCTTCCATCCCCCACCGACGTCTTGCCTCGGGAGGAGCAGTCAGGCCGCCCCCAACGAAAGGCAGCATCGCTCTCTCCTCAAGCGAGCAGCTGACACGAGCCGAGGTGCCCAGAGACCGGCCAAGCAACGTCGCTGGCAGAGCACGGACCCCCGGAAAGCACCGTCCCAGGGAACGTGCTGCAGAACAGGACAGACGAAGCCGGTTACACGTCTCAAAACCAAAGCTGCTGGGGCAGCAATTCCCCCAATACAAAGCTGCTCTGCTTCCTTTTTTTGGTAAGATATCATTGCAAAAAATTAACCTCCACAAAGACATTCATCAGCCCTTGAGCTGGTCATTTCCAAGCACGCAGGCCACGGGGAAGGCTCGCACATTCAACTGACAGAGCACCTCTGCTCTGCACCTGTTGTACAGATTTACGGATACGAAACAACAGCGAGAGACTCGAGTCTGGACACGCTCGGTTGCACCAGCTTAAACGCTAGCCCAGGAAGGATTTCCCTAGGGGCCTGCTTTTAATTTTACAAATGCACCTACCAGCCTTTAGCACCGTCAAGGTAAAGCCTGGCCATTAAGAAAGACTCAGCTTTTCCAGAGCAGTTTATAGAGCAAGGAAGCAAGCTGAGGAGTACAAATATGGTGCAGAGCTTGGAACAATTCCTTAGCCACGGGGATGATCTCATCGTACGGCTGCATGTGGCAGAGCGCGCGCTTGGCAGGAATAATCCCTGGGAAGCGCTAGCTCCGACGTTTCTTTAACCCTGCAGCACCGATAACGAGTTGTCGGGTCTCGAGCTCGCAGCCTGCCGCCTACCAGAGCGCGCAGCAATCCGAGCCAGACGCTCCCATCCGTTAGACAGCCAGGAGCAAGGGAAACCAGCCAGCACTGGCAAAATGGGACCAACACGTACAGAAAACGCAGCGGAGCCAATGCTACTTGGCTTCCCACAGCTTCCAAACTGCCGGTAGCCCCACTATGCCTTCCAGCTCTCAACACGCTCCTCTCATTTGGAGCATCCTTCCCCATCACTGCTCCGTGCCAGTGGTCTCTCAGTCCCACCTCGCCCAGCAGCTTTGCTGGAGCTCCCATTGCCATCTCCTGCCGGGTCTCATGCATCCCCCAGCCCCTTCCAGCACTGCTTTGGGCCACGTGCCCGAAGGCGAGGCTGTCCCCGAGAGCGCACGGGGAGCACGTGTCCTCTGCCATGGAGCTGATGCATGTTTTGCACGTCGCACTGGCCGTACCGAGCAAGGGGGCTGGGGCACTGCTGATGTCTCCGCGGTGAGCACGATAACCCAGCACATGGGTGTGGAAAAGGCACCATCGTGCTGGCCAGCATAGGAGATATTGTGGGAATAAAGTAAAACCATAAAGCAGCTGCCAACAGGAGATTAAACCACAACAAGCTCAACCCAAGAGTCTCATAAGCACAATCAACTCTCTCAAGGGTCCCCACTGTCTTCCCTGACTAGTTTTATAGACGTTGCTGCTGCCCAGCAAAGGGGCAACCAGGTTGGTTTCATTACTGAAGATCCTCCTGGTTCACCCGGGGCCCAGGGAATCGGGGTATTTCCCAGGTCAGGTTATTTATGGATTTGCACAGCCCAGATCTACCCAGCTCTGGTGGGACTGAGCTGCCAGTCTGGGATGTTTTTGTTTCTGTTTTTCAATTCAGTGGGAGAAATGATGCTCATGTGCTCATCCATGACCTGTTCAGAGGTGTCAACAGAGATGCAGGGCGACTTTTAGCCCCTGGAAAGGTGGTAGTTTGCTTGCAGTCAATGGGCTATTGCACGTGCGCATAACCCTGTATTTTGTCGCGGGGGTGCCGGCTTTCCCCTTAGCTCTCTGTCACCCTCTAAAGACGTACGATATGTGCAATGATGTGACCTGGACGGAGCGTGCACTTTGTAAAGATAAAAGGCCCCACCAGGATTATTTTCCTCTTTGAAAGCACACAAGAAAATTGTATTCTTTTTTAATGTTTTCCTTAAAATATTCCAAAATGGGGGGAAAAAACCAAACACTGGAGGTTCCAGTTAAACCCCCCACCCTTTGCTTTATTTTATTTTATCGCATGTCACGCAGCTGCGCAAGATGTTCATACGAAGCTCGGAGAAGCAGACACACTGCAGTCCGTGGGGCCAGACAGCACTGGAAAAGCCAGAGGGAGCAATAATTCCTCTCTTCCTTTTGAATGGATGTGATTTAATGTTTTATTTCTTTTACTTGCTGCATGCTAAAGAAAACACGAGGAGTGCTCCGGGGCTAAGGAGGTTTTCATCTTTAGACAACCATTTGGTCTCAGCGGTGGCAGATATCAGCACAAGGAGCAACGGGCTCAACTTGCAGCCAGGGAAGTGGAGGTCGGATATTAGGAAAAACTCTCTCCCCAGCAGGGTGGTGGAGCACTGGAAGGGGTTACCCGGAGAGGTGGTGGCGTCTCCATCCTTGGAGGTGTTGAAGCCCAGGTAGACAAATCCAAACTGGGGTGATGTAGTTGGGGCTGGTCCTGCTTGGAGCAGGGGTTGCACTAGATGTGACCTCCTAAAGTCCCTTCCACCCTCATTTTCTACGATTTTCACATGAATCTTTTAAATCCAGTTGCCGTTGCTTGAACGTTTCATCATTGCGTTCACAGTTAATTGCTGCTCAGTAAGAACAATTAGGAAACACTGAAGATCTTACTCAGGTGACGTCTTCGTTCAGGAGGTTTTGGCTGAGGAAGGACGGCGGCACTCGGGGCTGGGGGCACTGAAATGTGGTTTCCGTTATCGAGGTCTCGCTGTCAGGAACGTACTCGGGGCTAATCGCAGAGTCTCGCCTACCCCGAGAGCCCGCGAACGAGCCCGATTAACCGAGGGGGAAAGGACTGTCGGCACATGGGTTAGTGCCCAGGTACTAAATCCATTTGAGACCCGCCATCCCCAGACTTTCAATTAAAGGATTTCTAGAGTTCCCCACGAAGTCATCAAATAAGGCTTAACACTCATACTATTTACAAGGAATAAGAAAATGAGAAACAAAGCTTTCATTTTTTTTTTTTTATAGAGCTCTGTATAACTGAACATCATAACAAGCCGGAAAAGGGCACAAACGCATTTTCCCCTCCTTCACAGATTACCTTGAAGACTAGGCTTATTTACTTGATTGATATGCTGCCCTCCCCCTAAAAGACCAGAGCAGCTTACAATAAAAAAAGAGATAAATTATTTAACAAACAAAACAACAAACGGTCGAACGCAGCCGTCGAAAGCAGGTTACAGGGAGCCCCGGGTCAGAAAAGCAAGCAGGATTTTTCTCATTTCTAACAGCTACAATTCCCTGAGGACCAACAGATGGAATTACCCAAGCCCACCCGAGCTCCTCCAAAACCTTATAACCCCGATCTGCGTGTGCCGGTTTATCCAGCGGGGACCTGAACTCTGCGGCAGGGGGGGAAAGAGCACCGCTCGAGCGCTGGAAGGAGGAAGGTTTATTGAAAGAGCAAACAAAAGCAACAGAAAAATAACCACAGAGTCCTCCATTTCCCCTGAAACCATATAACCCAAGACAGAGTTGATCTGAAAAATAGCAACTCGGACAGTATTCACTTAATAATTATTAAGGAGCCCATTCAGATTTGCTGTATTTCTTCACTGGAAATGCAAAAGGATGTGTTGTTTTTTTCCCCACCGTTAGCATAAAAATCTTACAGTGGAGGAAAAAGGGAAACAGGACTTAAATCTCTTGGCGCATGGCAGTCTGTCTTCCCTCCTGCTCTGTGTCAGGGGCACGACAGCAAGCGCCGCGTCTCGGACATTATCCCTTCTTGCCGTGGTTATAGCACACAATGCAGCGCTGGAACAACAAGTGGAAAATGCTCGAGTCAGGCCCTGACCCGAAGGAGGGACGACTCCTCTCGGCCAGGAGCTTTCCCAGCAGGGCAGAGAAGCGATCTACAGTACGGCGACGTGAGGGGGTACATTTAAAGTGCGAAACCCCATAGGGTCAGATGCAGCTATGGATACAAAACCCAGTTTTTGTGGAAGACGTTTAGGCAGGAGAATAAGATTTCCGTTTAAAAAGCAAGGTCCTGGAATCCCAGAGCATTTTATCAACCTGAACTTGCTGTCGCAATGGCAACAAGTACATTGCTTTGACTTTTTGCAGTAAATGCAATGATCACCGGGGGCTTGTCTGCACGGACAAAGAGGATTTCCCTCCCCCTACATTTGCCTAAGCTTTGGACAACTGAAGAGCTCTTTTAACACCCCTGTACAGGCAGCAAGCTCCTCGGAAGTGACGCTAGCTGGCATGCTAAAGCCTGGCCAAGAGCAAACAAGGCAACGCACCCGGTGAACAAGACCTCTCCGTGGGTCAACCCTGCAAGCGAGAGGTGCAAGGGCAGCACCACAGACATCCTGAGCTGGATCACAAGGCGGGACGGGCTTCAGCGCAGCCTAGCCACTGGCTCTCCCAGGGTGGAGAGAACAGTTTGCTTTGAACCAAACCCTTGGGAAACCAGCATTGGCCAGAGCCAGGTCCCCAAATTTGCAGGTGTCAGTGCAAGTGTTAGCCTTCTCCCGCAGAGCCTCTCTCGCATGGAGAAACACAGTGGGGTCGGGGCCTCGTTTCTAAAACAGGGACTGCTACAAGAGGCACGGCACATGTCTGCAGACAACTGCAGCCCCAGGCTCAGCTGCAAGAGTGCTAGGAGCCGGCTAAGATTTGGGGTTAGGAGCTGGTTTCTGCAATGACCAGGGCGAGTCCTCAGGCATATGCTCTAGTAGGCTTCAGACTGCAAAGCACTGCGGAGGGATACCACGGGGCAGCGATACGGTGCTGGAGGAAGACTGAACGCCCACGCCAGGAGCTTACCTTAGCAAAACGGCACTTGGCAGCTTTGGGTTTCAATCCTGGCCATTTATGGAGTGGGAACTTCCCTTTTTGGAGATTAACTGAAACAAAAAACACATGGCTCAGCACACGTGGGCTGCAGGGGGTTGGACGCAGGACTCCCCGTGCCTGGAGAGTTCCTCGATTCGGACTCGAGCGCATGAAGCGGGATGCTGAACAGGGGGAAGTGCTATCGTGGCTCAGGAAAGAGCGGGGGCAGAGCTCGTTGGCAGGGCCTGGAGCAGGCACGTATACAAAGCAAACCGGCAGGCCAGGGTGGAGAGAAGGGGCAGGGGGAGGCATGCACGTGCTCTGCACCAAGAGGCAGAAGTACCACGGCTAGGAGAAGCCACTGAGCAGAGCAACACTTAACAGGATAGCAAAGTGATTTTCCTGTGCCATGTTGGCGCTCTGCACTCACGCCCAGAAAACAAAATTCCCCAAATAAAGGGGAAGTGAGAAGTTAAATGCCACTCTCTCAAATTCTCTCCTGCAATCAGTCACTTAAGATGGCTTTTCTGAACGACCCCACAAACAACGTATGACCATTCACACTCTGAGCTGTGCAACTCGGTTCTTGACTAACAAGAAAACGCTGAAGAAAGTGTCTCCCCAGACTTACAGTTGATGAGCTTTATTACAATTTTCAATATAAAAACTTTCAGGGTTGGGTAAAGGCGTTCGACCTGCAAGACAGAGATGACTTTGTCAGGAAGTGCCACGCAGCACCCGAAAACATCCCCCACGTTATCTAGCAGCACCTGGATCTCACTAACGCTGCGTGAAGAGGGCTGCAAAGCTTGAGTGCTAAACAAGAGTGCAAACCCTGCGATATGACAAGCAAGCCTAGTCACACTGGGTCGGGACATTATTAAAGAAGGAAGCATCTGCTGAGAGCAGGAGCAGTCATTTCCTATCCACCCCGCGCCGGTCTCCCTTTTCTTTCTCCATCCAGACAAAGCCTCGCAGCCGGCTGGGGATATGAAACAAAGCTGCCCTCTGGACCTTGCAAACCGCAGACCTGCACTTGTGCTTGTGCACTGCTATTTCCCACCGAGCACAAGGAGAACTGACATCAGGCCTTCGGCACTGCAGCCTTAGCTTGCAGAAAGTCTTTAAAAAAAAAAAAAAGCCTTTTGTTTCAGAAGCAAAAATGTCAGATGTCTGCTGAATAGCAAAACACCTGTGAGTTGAGCAATGGGTAATTAGAACAAGCCTGCAGCGGTGGCTCCCCACTGACCTGAACCGAAATCTTCAAGAAAAGAACAATAGAGTCTTATCCAAAGAGCCCATTTACCCATAGGTATTGGCCCCTGAGGGCCCCGCGCAGCGGAGGAAGGGAGGAGCATTGGGCGACCCGATCCTTCCACTCCCACTAAGTCAGCAGCTGCAATAGCACGTGGCAGCAATCACGTCCATCACCCAAGGCACCATGAAGACCTGGAACAAGTCTGGAACCAGGACATACCCCTGCAGCATTGCCCTCGATACCTCATCCTGCCTTGAAAGGGAGTTGTCCAACGATTGCTTTTTGAGCACAGTTATCCAGCACAGCCCTTCATCTAGACCACGACTTCTTGCAAACATTTGGCCTCTACCTCCTAGGATAACACCCAGAGTAATAACACTAGGAACTTACATTAACCCGTCCAACTATCGAGGAAATCCATCTGATGTGCAATCTGCAGAGAAAACAAAGACAGCAAGGTGAGGCGGCGAGTCCATCTCAGACAGAAATGTCATTTCCTCAGAGTTTCTGGGTCCCATCCTCTTTTAAACCCTCAAGTCCAGATAAGGACCCCCATCTCCATCTCTATTGCCTGTGACATTAGATGGGAATTGTCCTTTATAATGTTAACCCCCCTTTAGAGAAAAACACTTCCATGTCCTGATACCTGTCCAGGGTTGTAATGAACCACACTTTCCCGCTGAAAACTTGAAGTACAGCTGTCAAAGCAAGTCTCTGCAACGAAGACATGAGAGAGAGTCACCAAAAGGTGCATTTGAGCCTGCCTCAGCTCTAAAAACCACCGGTATCAGCTCCAAAATACAACAGAGACGTTCCTCCCTGCTGTAGGCTGAGTCCCTCGCCGAAGGGAGAGCAGCAATGACCACTCAGCAAACTCTGCGATTTTATCCAACACCTGCAACCAGAAGCAAGAGCTTTCCTTTGCCACCTCGCTCATGCCTTCATCAAGAATTAGACAGAGGAGAAACATGAGCCAGGATCCATCCCACATCTTGGTGCTTTCTTCACTTGAGTGGGAAGGAAAGACCGTTCAAAGCCCTCGTTGGTGGACCTGCCCGTGCAGGCAGACCGCACGAGTGCAGCCTCAGCCCCAGTCTGCTCGCACCTGCAGAGGCTCACAGCCCGCGGGCGCTGCGCACAGGAACAGATTATTTTTAAATACACAAAGTTCAACTCTGCAGAAATTAAGGCAGCCTCTAGGAAGGGGCGAGTCAGGAAAGCACCAAGTGCCAGCTCCGTCAACCACACACCCCTCGCATAAAGCGCTCCGGATGAGGGAGGTCTCGTTTCCTGCTGCAATCCCGGCCCCCTCCTTATCCAAATCCCACAGACACCCCTGGGCTGGGCTGAGTATTTCCAGTGCAGAGGTTTTTAATGCTTGCATTTGTTTCTCAGCATCATCCAGGAGGCTGTCCTGCAGCTGGAAACTCATCTCACAGGAGAGATGCCTACTCTGAACAAATACACTTTGTGGGACACCCAAACCCACCCATGCAGGTGGATGCAGAGAGCAGCTGGTTGCTAGCCATGACCCCCAACCCCTTCTTTCTTTTCTTTACCCCTTGAAACTCAATAAGAGCTTCCTCTCTTCTCACTTACTACTTCCAGCTTTATGAGGGGAATCAAGCTGCCATTCCCGTGCTTAGTGACAATCTCCAGGGTGAGAGAGATGTTCATGTTGCACACGCCCACGTCCAAGTAGACCTCCAGAGGCTTAAGCACCTTCATGTTGATGATGAGCGAGTTATAGATCGCCGGGCAGGTCGAGCACTGGAAGAAACCAGGCATCAAGGTTGAGGCTTCAGCTGGTGCACTCATCCCATGGGAGGGAGCAAGAGGAAGCAATGGGCGTGTGAGGATGGGGGTCCAAACGATAAACTGCGGGCCCCTGGAGTCAGCAGCGGTGCTTGCTGCGTATCCTTTCCGGAGGCCCGGCAGCACACACCACTGCTGGCAGCCTTGCACAGGAGAGCGCAGTCTTTGCAAGCCCACCCTTCCCGGACAGATGTTCAGCATCTGTCTCTGCTCCCCGCTCCCCTTCACCTGTCCGCAGACCTTTCTGACTCTCTCTTTGTTTCCTTGGGCAGCCTGCTGCTTTCCATCTCGGCATGTGCAGGCTGCATCCTTCCCCTGGCTTCCCCTTTCTGCAAGGCCTGCTCTTGGACTCGGAGCAGAGCCAAGCATCAGCCCCAGCAGCAGGGATTACGTGTAATGAATGACCGCTGTGGGCAGTGCAGGGCTCCGAGGGGTCAGCCAGGGCATCGATGCTTCTGGCATCAAGTCTGTTTAGGTTTGGGATAAAAGGAAGCCAAGGTCTGGCCAGGCAGGGAAAAGCCCCCGTGAGACTCAGACCGACTCACCTTGGAAATGATCAGATCCGTGATAATGTTCTCGAGCGTGGTCGTTTCGTAAAACTGTGTGAAACAAACACAACGGTCAGGCGGACGCGCCCGGCTCTGCGGTGGAGCAAGGCCACCGATGCCACAGCTTCGCGGTCCTTTTTCCTCATTTTGTGGGGTGACCTCCTGGCCCACAAAGCCAGGGGGGGCATTTGCAGGCAACAAGTAACTCAGCCCGCAGCCACGTGTCCTGGGTTTCAGCCTTTTTTCTCCACCGAATCACCCATCTACAGGGGATTTCCTGTCCCCCGCAAGGCCCCCGCTGTGCCCTGGGATCCTTCCCCACAGCCACTCAGCAGTGCACCACGTCCCCCAGCACGGCGAGATGTCTGCATCCTGAGCCTCACGAAATGGGGATAATCTTTCATGAACCTCGGCTCCCGTCCCAGCCGACCAGACCTTGCAGGAACCGCAGCAGCTTGGGGCAAAGCGTTTCCTTATCCAAAACAACAGGGTGCAAGCGAGTCTCGGGGACAGCTGCCTGGGTCCCTTGTTTCCAGAAAAGCAGCCTAACCTGACTGTCCATCTCCAGGCCTGCGGTGTTACTCATCTCATTCCCAGACATTTTCTTTTTCTTTCAACTCTAACCCCACCCTTCAGGTGCAGCCTAGGTTTGCCAAGCATCTCCATCCAATGCCTTTCAGGCAAACAGAAAGAGCAGCTCTGAGTCGAGATACGGGGCTGCATACACTGACCTCCCAGCTCCGTGCAAGACAGACTCGCCCTGGATCAGGCGGCAGGTCCAGAAAGCTGGAGATTTTATGCAAATACCTTAAAGTGCATGCTTATGCATATGCACTGGCTAATTTGCATGATTCGTTTCTCTCGTCTAAAACCTGCACTTAACCCTGCCTTGTGCTCCATTAGAGTCTCTGCTTAATTTGCCTGTTCGTGCCTCCTCTCCCCGTCCTCCAGAGGCTTCCCTTGTAACCCATATCCCCATGGCTCTCATTCTTCCTCTCTCCCCACGGCCCCCCATCAGACACGCATGCATTCCCAGGGAGAGTATTCCTTTAGGAGGTCTGCAACACAGAACTACCCCCTCATCATACTGTCCACCACCCCTGCCACGTCTCTACAGCCAGAGGTGCGTTAGATGTTGTGCTGTAATAACGCGCCTCCTCCTGCTCTCCCTGCAAACTAGGACTTGCAAGCAGGTGCCTCCTGGATTGATCCAAGACAGAGAAGCTCAAGGATGGGGGAAACATCCCACAGGTAAGCTAGAGAGAAAGCACCAATGTTTCTGTAATAGCGAGCGTGTCACTCACCGTCGCAGGAGTGCAAGGGATGGACAGAGGTGTCGGTAAGACAATCCTGGAGAGGATAAAAGTGAGTATGTTCTGCCCGATGGCCTCAGAAGTCTCGTGATATTCCGGCAACTTGATATCATCGTCTGGCTCGGGTGGGATGAGGATTTTCTCTCCATTGTCAGTCTCATACTCAGTCTGAAAACAGAATACAGGTTTCACCCCTTCACTGTGGGGTTACTGAATAGGCAAAGGCACAAAATAAGGGAAAGAAGAATACAGTATCCTTAAAAGGGGGTCACACCTGCACCTTTGGGGTGCAGACGTCCCTCTGGAGTCTCGTTTCATTCCCCTTTGTTTCTGATAAAACAATTTCCAGCTAAAACTGGAAGAACTGGTCAATGCCAGCCTTGCAGGGAGAGTCGCTCTCGGGGGGAGGGAAGCTGTGTAGGAGCAGGTACAGGCTGCCCAGGAGCAGGGACTGAATGCACAGTTTCCAGATCGAAAAGGGAGAGCGGCTACACCCCATAAACTAAGAGACTAGGGTCATCCTTGTAGAACCCTGTGTGACCCAGGCGGGACAGCAGGCAGACAGGACAGACTGCAAGAACAGAGCTAGCCAGGGAACGTGCAGTCCCGTAGGGCTGGTTAAACCACGCGCCACGTGGATCTGCAGACCTCAAAGCCAGATGGGCTACGATGATCTGGTGCAATCTCCCACATAACCAAGGCCAAAAGCATCTCCCCCCTGCGACTGCAACTGCAACAGCTCTGCTGGCAAACACAGGGGGTGAGCACGTGTCAGGAAGGACAAGCCTGTTCTCTTTGCCACTGAACAGATCTTTTTACCCCACATTTTTATCCTGCCTCTCATATTCTCCCGAGACGTTATTTTCTCCGGGAGGGACCTGGGTCTCTGGTGTTTGCTGACATAGATTTCATAGACATTCGGGCTGGAAGGGACCTCGGGAGATCATCGGGTCCGGCCCCCGCTCAAGTGGCAGGAAGTCAGCTGGGGCCAGATGATCCCAATAAGGTAAGCATCCAAACACTTCTTGAATGTGTCCGGAATAGGTGCTTGCACCGCTTCTGGGGGGAGTCTGTTCCAGTCTGCAAACCCTACACCAGCACTCAATGCAGATGAGAAAATCCTCGCGAGATCGGGGCCTTAGCGAGTCAGTGCGATGAGACGGGAACAAATGGCTGCAGAACGGCGCCCTTTGTGCTGCCGCAGACACCAACAGCCGAGGAGTCAGAGCTATTTCTGCTAATGATTTCTCTGAACAAGGTTGGGGAAGCTCTAAAACCGCACCAGACCGACCCAGTTTATGGCCATGAAATCCTAGCCACCAAAACGTTACTCCCTTACCAGGACAGGGACTTCAATAGTGCGGTTGTGGACCTTCGGAGGTTGAATCACATACTGGATTTTCCCCTTCTCAATTGGAAGCGCAGCTGCACAGAAACACAAAGAGACCCGAAAGTAGACACAGCAGCAGCTGAAAAGGCACGTGACTGAGCTGGCATTTTATCACCTCACAGTTAGACCATGAAAGCTATTTAGTCAGGCATCAAAAAGAGTCTGCCCCAAGATATTTATATTTTGGGGAGGTGGAAACGAATCAGAGTCAGGATTAAACATTTAAGATAGGAAGCAGCGGTCAATCAGCGAGCCTCCTCCTTCAAGTCTCTACCCAGAGTTATATATTGCTAGACAATATATTGCTCGACACAGATCCCCTCCCTCGGAGGACAGCTCGCGAGTCTCTTCACAACCAGAGTTCAGATAATACCTTGTGCGGTCAGCTGCAAACACAGATAAAGGGACATTTCACCTTGCAAAGGTAAGTTAGACAAAACCCCAAATAAGACAAACCGAGACACTGGACAACGGCGAGGCACGGGACCACGTGGGTATAATTTGATACGAAAAAACAACTAGCAAGACCCTGCGTTCCCCGCAGCCGCATGCTTCAGGTTTGCCGCCGTCCAGTGAAAGCTCTGGGGCAGTTTCAGATACGTTTAAATTATATTCAGATACGTTTAAGATTTTACAGAATTAAAGTGCAAAAGCACAGTCAGCAGAGCAGGCCCCGCGTCACTTCGTTTGTTATTAAATTTGGTTTTTCCATGCTTCCCTGTTTCATGATATGTTGAGGATTGTCATCTTGAGGCTTCAGAGTCAACAACCCCCTAAAACATGGGGGGAGCTCAGACCCCTCAAAGAGAGTCTCTGGTTCTCTGCAGATTTAGGCAAACATTTTACGTTAGTTATATTTGGATCATATCTGATGGGTTATCTTCAAAGCCCCAAAGGCTACCATTTTTTAACTGGAAGCTAAGAGCTGGCTGAAAAGGGAATCTCTCCCTGGCAAGGTCATAGGAAAGGGAAGGGAAATTTTTTTAAAGGATCGTTTGCGACACTCACACGTCAGATCATCCAGCATCTTTGCGTGCCCGAGAGACAGACATCTGAAGAATATTTTGGATATCTGAAACGCAAGCAATACCGTGATTTCCTGCTCACCGGCTGTAACAACCACGGGCAAACAGCGGTGACTTGTACTAATGGGAGCGGCTGACCTCCAAGATTTGAGCAGAGGTCAGGGAGATCTCAGGGCTGGAAGGTATTTTTGAGGAGGGAGGATGGATGTGTGGGCATTGCATAGCAATGCTTCACATCACCGCTGTCGCTCGCCGATCTCTGCACATGAAAGTGCCACTGTGCTCATACTGCATGAAGGGAAAGCTTCAGGGAGCTTACAGCTTCAACGTTAGCAAAGACGGGTTCGAAGGTCTCCTTGCCCTTTGGGCAGGAAGGGGACGAACCGGCTGTGGGAGTCTGGGGGGCTGGGAGGAGGGAGAAGGGCAGACTAGATCCTGCCCCTAATCACCTTTGGGCTCCCGGGGCCAGAGGAGGCAGGAGACAAGGAGACGCACCTTGGTCTGTATCTCGAACGTGACGCTGTTCTGTAGCGAGGCCATCACGCCTGCATTGACGTCGCTGCAAGCAAAACCAAACAGCATCAACTACTAACGAGCAAACGGCATCACGTGAGAAACAAGCATCTCAGCCTGGCATGGTCCGAGACGGGGTCCTGCCTCCTGGGCCGCCCATGCCAGGGGCCGCTCAGGGCTTCGGGGAATATGTGGGTGCAAACGGGAGGCAGATGGATCGCTCCCATTGCGGTCCCCTGGCCAGCGGAGTCCGAGATTTAAAGAGTAGTTCATACAGACGATGCTCCGCAGCCTGCAACCCTGGGCCTCAAGATCCGATACCAGAAGCAGCAGGTATCAACTCTAGAGCCGTCTGGCGTGTGGTGCTGGCGAGGGGTGCCGCTGCCCGCACTCCCAAACCGGGTGCATCTGCACAATATTGAACTAATTAGCTCTGCTTCTCAGTGGGGCTAATTAGCCTGCCCTCCATGCCATGCAAACCCAGCAACATTGCTGCTAGGAGGCACCATGTGTCCAAGTACAGAGCTGCTTATAGACACGCTCCTATGGGGGCCTACACCAAGCCTGCTGAGGGAAGAGAGGGCCTTTGGGGACCTCACACATGGTGCAAAAAACTCATGATACAACTCTGATTGCATTGATTTGGGTAGTGTGCAGGTGCTAACTGAGAATAAGCCCATCGAGCTAGGTTCTGCACGAGTAAAAACAGCAGCAGCTGATCTAAACCTGTAATTGTACAGCTTATAGGGTCATGGGGGGGATCCGTCTCCCCAGCACTTGAAGAAGTAATTATAACAATAACAATAACCGCAATAATAATAAAACAAGACAAAGGTGTGGAGCAGAAATAGGAACATGCAAAGAAGAGCAGAAGGATAAACAGTGGTAAATAAAGGAGGAGATGTGCTGATAGACCAGCAGCACAGGGCGCTGGCGCTGGTTAACCTGCAAGAAGCAGAAGTCGTCCGCACTCACGGTAAGCTGCTCGTGACATTGAGGAAGGCCACGGCACACTTGGAGCTGTTGATGGGGATGGTGTTGCTCAGGGGCGAGAACTGGGGCAGCAGGACCAGAGCAATGCAGCGTACTTTCAGGCTGATGGTGACCATGCCTGGGAGGATGTTGCTGGTGCTGCAGGGGCAAATCCACAGAGGAAGCTCGTTAGCCCGCAGCACGACCTCCCCAGCAATGCTGCCCTTACGGAGGTGGAGACTAAGCTGGGTGCACGTGCAGGTTACAACCAACTTCCTTCCACCCCAGCCACAGCTAGTGCCTTCCCCTCCCTGGCTCCGTCCTCATGGGACCCTCACACTTAACAACCAAGACCCAGCTCCTCGGGCCCTAACCCACGCTGCATGATAGCCTCCCGAGAGGCAGTCCTGTGGATTTCCACGGGCAGGATCCAGCCCCACAGGACCAGCGTGGTACGCGCCTAGACTTGCTGTACAGCGAGGATGCGCTGTAAATAATGCCGATGCCCTTCAGGAAAGTCACCAGCCAGATGTCTCCTGTATGAGATGGGGGACGTTGGAGAGCGTAGCCTGCTGCATCGCTCCTACGTTTCCCCTCTCGAAGCCTGGCTCGCATCCCAGCGGAGAGCAAGTCACAGGTGAGCAACGTGACAGAAACGGCATGGAGCACTTAGCCTATCCGCTGTGCAGAGGGCATTGCGGGGTTGTCCTCTGCAGCGTATTCACCAGCTTACACACATCACATTTTAAACCACTGATACGACGCAGCCTCCCCTCCAGTTCTTGAGCATGTGTCCTAACGTCCTGTAAATCTGGTCGAACCAACCCAGGGGTAGCAAGAGAAAGGCAGCCATCTGAAAGGGCCGTGGAGCAGCAAACTGGAGGGAGCGAGGCCCATGAGAAAGGTGGAAAAGGAGGGCCCTGCCCCGCAGACCTCCCTCCCGCCTGTCACTTGGACTCGCCACTAAGGAACTGCAAACTGCGAGAACCCGACACCTGTCCCCAGGTAAAAAAAAAAGAGAGTGCCCCATAAAAACCTGGGGTTATGGTTGTGAAGGGAAAAAAACAGGAGGAGGAAGATGAGACCAAAGCCTGTTTCGTAAATAATCTGAAGGCTGGAAAGCCGAGAAACGCAAAGCTAAGGCTCCACTTTTTAAAAGATCAAGAATTCCCAAGGATTTCACCCAAATTTCCTAGGCACTACCAGAAATGTAAAGACCACACAGAGAGCACCCATGAAACAGCCACTTTGTCAGCGATTCTCGAATGCAAGAGCCCACCCTGCTCTTCACCGTACGGGAACTGCAGAGCTGACCCACCGAAGAGCAGAAAAGCATCCTCCAATCTAAAGCTTGCAAAGAAGAC